CCTCAGAAGCGCCAGGCTCCTCACTACCTCCGGGAGTTCCCCAAACGATTCCTTCCCCCGGAAGGCCCTTTCCTGACACCCTGCTCAGTGTAAAGCCAGCTTCCCCTCATTGCTCAAGCTCCCACTGGAGGAGCTGCCCATGCCCCTCTCCCTGCCCTCGTGCTGACACTCAGCACTGTGCATTTGGCTTCCTGACATTCTCCGCGCTGCTACCTAACTGCTATCATTGTGTCATTATCCATGAAATGAGGCTCTCCTGCTAGCTGGGAAGCGGTCTGTCTCATTGGCCTTGGTATTCCCAGAGCCTTCCATAGTGGCTGGCCCATTAGAGGTGCGCGATAAATATTCTGCAGCCAGAGTTACATCTCTGTGGGAGTTAAACCTCTTGGTTGCTTATTTGTGCCTGAAAGCCCCTAGGACTGCCCAAGGTGTGGAGCCTGAGAGTAAGACGCTGAGGATGTTTGGAGGAAGAGGAGGGAGAGCGGGGAGCACAGACCCCGCTCTGCCTTCCTGGGCCTCTGGCCGGCCAGCCTGCTGAGGAGGGAATCCCTTCCTCTGGCTGGTCCAGGTAGAGAGCAGGCAGTAACGTGCCCAGGTGGGTTGACATGGGGTGGGCAGGGATGCACATATTTCGGAGGGGCAGCTGCTAAGGGGAAAGCCTTAGCTAGAACATCGTGGCCGTGGTGGGGGTGGGGAGAGGTGTGTGGGGGGGAAGTTGGTCATTCATTTATAGCAGGCTGCCCCTGCCAGACCTTGGTCCGTTTCCTACAACCACACAGCAGCTCCTCATAGAGCACAAGGCCAACCTCTTGTCCCAGAAAAGCCTGCAGCCCTCCCTCATGCCCCCTAGAGTCTCCCTAACCTCTGGATCTGCTCTCCTGTTATATTTTTCCTTCCACTGCCCAATCCTGGTCTCCACCATCCCCCCCACACTGTCCCTCTGCCCAGGAGATGCTCCCCACTGGCCGGCCTCCTCTGCGGGGGACAGAGTGGGGGTGAATGGACTAGAAGGGTTGGGCTCTGCTGGGGGTGGGGTGGGGGAGGACTGCCCAGGGAAGGAGTGGTTCCATCCGGCCCCTCCCCCCTCCCCCTGATCCTGACTGGCCCCACCCAGCTTCCTCCCTGACGTGGCACCCTCTCCCTGGCCTCCAGCCTTGCACCTCAGAGCAGTCCTGGGGTGGGGGTGCTCCCCTCGCCAGCCATCCTCCACCAGGTGGCCCCCGGCACCTGCTGGCACTCACTCCCTTTGGTGTTCATAGCTGACCAAACATGTGGCCGTGGGTCGTGCTCTGAGAGGGTCTCTGAGTTAGACCACGCGGGAGGCCAGGAACTGCCTGCCTCTCTGTCCCCCACTGTCCCTGGTCTGCTGCCCCACATTCTCTGCAGAAATGAAACCCCACCCTCCTGGGCCAGTGCAGAGGAAAGTGCCAGGCCAGTGGGCATGGGCAGCTGACAGGGTTTGGTTGCTTCCTCCCCCAAGCCTCTGTCTGTCACCCTGAAAGGCAGGACAGGTTCGTCCATTGGTGAATGAACGGAAGGTGGAGTGGCCAGCCTTCCAGCCACGGCGGCCCGTTCTGCCCGCTGAGGAAAGCAGTGTCGCCCCCTCCTCGCAGGGGGCGCTCGCGCGCTGGGGAGGGCCTGCCCACATTCTGACCCTTCCTGGGTTCCGCTCTTCACCCCCTCCCCGCCCCGCACCTGTCTCTTCCTGCTCCGCTGCTCCCTTTCTTTCCTCTCCACGTGTTTCCTGCTTCTCCCTCTTTCCACGCTCTCCTCCTCCGCAGTGTCCCCAGCCCCTCCTCCTGCTTCTCCTTCAGTTTCCTTCAAGACTGGCGTGTATCTCCTGCCAATCCATCTCTCTCCTCCTTTCTTGTCTTGCCCTCCTCCTCCTCCTCCTCCTCCTTGCTTCTTGACCAGACTCTTCCAATCTCTCTCTCTCTTCTGGCAAGTCCTTTCCACCTGCCTGCAGGGCCACGGGCCTCTTACCCTGCGAGGCTCGGTGCTGTGTCTGTGGGACCCTGTCCATGGGGCAGCTCCCTTGGTGCCGTCCTTGCTGCCCTGGCTGCCCAGGAGGGCAGGGAGCAGGGCCCAGGGGAGGGAGGAGGGAGCAAGGAGGGAGCACCTGGCCAGTCAGCAGGCAGGGGAAAGGAGTGGCTGACAGAGCAGCCTGGCAGCAGGAGGGGACAGGGCGAGAGACCAGAGGAACAGGGTCTGGAGCCTTAAGGAGGAACAAGTGAAGGGAAGGGGACTAGCGTTTGCCAGGCACTTTGTGTAAATCCATGATTTTCCTCGATCCTCACAACAGCCACCATTATTCCAGATTTACCCATAAGCTACATGATGCTCAAAGATATTACTGACTTGCCTGAGGACAATAAGTGGCTGCCCCATGATTTGAACCCAGGTCTTTGTGACTTCAGGATGGTGTGTTTTCTGCCTGACCAAGAGAGGTGACAAGAACAGGGCTTCTCTGGGGGGGAGTGGTGGGGGGGGTGCCGCTCCTCCAGGAGGAGGTCAGACTCACCCCATGGTTCCTCCGTTCCTGAGGCCTCTGCCCGCTTAGCCCCGGCACCTTGCTGCCTTTCCCTAGAATTCCGTGGCTTGCTGATGCCTCCACATTTTCCTCGTCTGTCAGGGGCCGTGTTGCAGGGCTGGAGGGGTGTGTGGGGGCAGAGGAGCAATGGGAGGGGAGAGGCCAGGAGAGACGCTGCGCTGCACTAGCTGGAGGCAGTAGAGCCCCCAGACTCGGTGGGTGCACACGGGGGCCCGCACGGAGGAAGGGCTCTGCAGAAGGCTTCGGGACAGAATGAGGCTGGTGCAGGTCCTGGATGCCACTTCTGTCCTGCACAGCCTCGGTCCAGAGTTTGATTAGCTGGGCCTGGCTCTCCTGGTTACCCAACAGGCTGGCTGGCCAGGGGCCAAGATGCAGTGGGGCGGCTCCCTGGCACCTCCTCCTGCTCGCTCCCGGCTGGTAAACAGCAGAGCAGGAGGCAGCCCCGCCACAGCACGTGGCACCTGGCGTGGAGAGGGCAGGCAGCTGTCCCTTCCCTCTCCTGCCCTCCCATCTCGCCATCCTCCACTCCCGCCCCACCCTGGAGCTTCACACTCTGCTACCATCAGCACCTCCATTCCTGGGTGACTCCCAGGGCCTCCCAATGGCCGCAGCTCGAGGGACAAAGGTTAGACGCGTAGAGAAGGACTTCCCAACTCCTAGGATGGTGGGCAAGGGGATAGGGAGTGAGGAAGAGTGGAGTGGCCGCTTTTGGGGACCTCCTTATGCCAAGGGTCTGACAGTGATGTATCTGTGCCTCTGATTACCCCCATATCCTTTTGGTATACGCATGGCCCATGCATCTGTGTGGCCCACATAGATCTGTCTATCTATATATGGCCCACACTTCTCTGCACAGAACAGGATGCCAGTCTGTTTTGGGGCTCTCCCCCTCGGGCAGGCTTGGATTAAGAGGCAACGCTCTCCAAAGCACCACTCCACCTAGTGCCCTCTGGCAGACAAGTAGAGCCAGCCAGAGGCAGAGGGACAGGGGTGCGGGGGAGGATTGGGGTCCTGTTGTATGGCTCTCCCCTTTCCAGCCCGATGATTGGCTTTGCTTCCACTCAGGATCCTCTCTCTGTGTCTCTCCCTGCCCGCCCCTCCCTGTCTATCGTTCTGTTTTCTGTGCCTCCTCGTCTTTTCTCCTCTTCCAGCCTCTCTTACTCTGTGACTCTGGGTCTCCCAGGGCCCTTTCTGAGCTCCCGGTTGGGGGCACCATGTCAGGTGGTCTGGCCACCCCCGATACCATGAGTATGGCTGCCCCTCCCAGCCACTCGTGCCACTGCGCAGGGTGGGGAGGAAGTGACCGGGGTTTGGAAGACAGGGTCCTGGCCTCTAGGCCTAAGCAAGTCACATGCCTCCTGGACATTCTTGGGTCTCCACCCCTTCCCTGGGCTAAGCATGGATGCCTGGGGTTCTTTCTCCCTAGGGCAAGAAGGTACCGTGATCATCCTTTTGGGAAGTCCATCCTCATGCCTAATCTTCTTCCCTCCTGCTGCAATCACAGCCCCTTTTCTGGAGGAATCAGTCCTTTCAAAGCCGGGCAGTGGTTTTTTTCCTCCTCGAATTCATTCTTAAAATTCTTATGCAAGGAAGAGGCTGATAGGGATCAGAGAATCATTTCACCCCCCACGTGCCCAAGTTCCCTTATCAGACTGGGGAATCTCAATGCAGGGGGCAAGCAGCCTGGAGGGGGTAGAGGGTGGTGGTGGTGGCTTGGAACTGGGGAGCAGTCACCAACTTGTTTTCCCTTCCTCCCCACCCTCTAAACCACAGAAACCACTTAAAGCTCAGTGCAAGCCTGCCCTTCCAGGGAGGGCCTGAGGGTGTGAAGGTAGAAAGTATGTGGGGCCTGGACAGCCTGCAGGCCCCATACTGCCCCAGCCCCATCCTTCAAGGGCCACCTCCTCTGGGAAGCCTGATTCAATGATGAGGACAACTTTTCTTGGGTCCTGGAGAGACCTCAACCCACGGCAGTGACCCAGGGAGGGGGCTGTACCTCCTCCTCCCTCAACCATTAAAAAAAGCACAACCTAGGCTCTATCAACATCTGTAGAGCTCACGGCCTCCACCCCTCCCCCTTCCTGTCACAACGGCCACTGTGGGTGGAGGGAACGGTAGGAGTTTGACCCCAGCTCCTGGCCCTGAACTTTCCATGGTGGCCCTGCCTGCACCACTCATCATCTGTCAGGTAACATCTGTGGTCACTTAGCCCAGGACGCAGCAGGGAGTGCTGGAAGGCGGGAGCTGGGATTTTTGGAGCCAAAAGATTTGGATAAGAACATGGCCTGCTATTTATTAGTCTTCAGTGAGCACACCAGTAAAAAGGGGACGATAGTAACTGTCCTGTGAACAGGCTTTGAGGCCCCCTGCAGTGTGCACACGGCGGGGCGGGCGGCGGGGGGGGGGGGGGGGGGGTTCTTAGCACCTTATTTGTCCCGGGCACGTTTCTGTGGCTTTAGCTAGCCAGGAAGTTCCTCCAGGGACACTGGCCTCCAGCACATGGGGCAGCTCACAGCTGTGACCTGAGTGAGTTGCTCTTTGAATCCCCACCTCACAGCCTCCTCTGAGCAGCAGGCTGGGGTTGGGGGATCTGGGGGAGCCAGGGTCCTAAACCTTCCCTGCAGCCAGGCCATTCCCAGGCCAGTTTACTTAACCTCTCTGATCTATCTCTCAGTAAAATGGGAATGACAATACCTACCTTACGGGGCAGTTGTGATGATTACTAGGATAACACAGATAAGCTGCAGCACCTGGTCCAAAGTATGGTGGTTAAAAAAAGTGGTTTGGGACCATCCCTCCCTCTTTCCATTCCTATAGTCTTCCCTTCTCTTTATCTGACTCCCCTTTCCTAGGAAGCCGCTTTCTTTTTCTCCATAATGTTTTACCAAGTAACTTTTTTTTTTTTTTTTTTTTTTTACATTTTACTTATTCATTTTCTAACTTGTCTGATCCCTATGTCTGTTTTGATCACTGGCATCTCCATGGGGCCTCCCTACCTTGTGTTGCAGGAATGCATGAATGAAAGTTAAATGACCTCTACGTTTCTTTCCAGGGACTTTCAAATGGACATCAAATCCAGTTGTTCACCAAAGGCTGTGATGGGGGGATTTGGGGCTGAAGTAGAAGGACAGTATTAAGGACAGAGCTAGACCCATGGGTGATTTCACAGACTGAAAGAATGGGAGCGCTGTCATTCTAGGGAAGGAGGAGACTCCTTTCAGAGTGACCTGGGTGGGAGGTGGCCGCTGACTCTTAGTATAGTGAGGGGGTTAAGAGCCCAGACTCTGGAACCAGACCCTCTGGGTTCAAATCCTAGCTTTACTCCTCACTATAGGAGTAAAGCCCAAGGTCACATTGGCTAACAATAGTACTTAATCCTCCTGGGAGTTGCTAGGAGGTATAAATGAGTTGACCAGTTGTAGAACAGTTCCTTGCTGGGTGATATTAGCCCTTATTATTGTTTGGTCAATGCTACCACCTGGTGGACAGCTGGAGCAAGGTTTCCCTGGCCTTGGGCTGGGGCAGCTGGTGGGGGCACCTAATCAGGGGAGGGAGAAGGCATCCCAGCGATCTGACAGAAGTGCGTGTGTGTTGTGTTAACATTACACATGCTGAGGTTTATCGGGATCCAGCAGGCTCATCCCTGGCTCAAGGCACCATGGAAACTGAGAAAGGGCCCAAGGGGGAGGGGGAAAGAAGCTGGGTTGGCCCAGTGCCTTCCTCCTCCTCTCCCTCCCTCCCTCCTTCCTTCCTCTAAGCCTGGCCTGAGCCAACAGGAACCAACTCCAGGGAAGGCGAAGAGAGAGAGAGAGAGAAGAAGAAGAAGAAGGTCACTGCTGACGTCAGGGACATTCAGGTAGGAGGTAAACACAATCTGACCTACATTTATCCATCTCCTTCCCCACCCTCCCCCTACTCACTGGGGTAGCTTTTTCTGGGCATCTTTGAGAAGAGCTCTCACACTCAGGTAGGACGCCCTCCCCATCTCAATCCCTGGGACATTTTATCTCCTCCATTCAGTCCTCAAGCGCTACTCGGACACTTGGCTGCACCTTCGCGCCCGGGGTGGCACAGGCATAGGCAAGAGAGAGGACACCCAACTCAGCGCTGTGTGCGGACATCTCCTGACTCACTCTCAAGGCACAGAAATTTCATCTCTCCCCAGGATAGATGTGGGTACAAGTGGGGAGGAGGTAGGTGAGCCACGGACTGCTGATTTCCCCTGTGCAGCCCCAAGGAACCCCCTGGGGGGAAGGTGGCTAATGTTGGTTTCGGTCACAGAGCTTTTTCTGCAGTGATGGGAGGGCCCCCTGAAGGGGTTGGAGGCCTTTTTGGACAGGGCCCTACCCAGCCCAGACCTATTAACCTAGCTTCAGCATCTCTTGGGGATGGAGCCCAGGACTGCTGATGTCTGATTACTCTAATGCTCACTCAAGTTTGAAAACCACCACTTGAGGTCTGCTCCAACTCAGCGTGAATGAGCTTCTTCCATCCCTGGGATAGCCAAGACTGAGGGAAGAGAGCAGGCTGTAGATCTGAGTGTAGGGTGCCGACAAGGGGAGAGACCCTGCTAAAAACAGACATTTTATTAGCAAAAATAAATACAGGCTGGGCAGGTGAAAAGAACGAAGACCTCTCTGAGGAAGAGACAGTCTCCCAGTCTACAGGCTGAGATGGGCAGGCGCCAGGGGGGTCCCTGGACCTAGCCCCCCACCCAAGGGGGGCAGCAGGGCAGTGAGGGGCGTCTCACACTCCCCCAGCAGCACGTCTCTGCGGAAGCCTGCGCCCCTGTCCAGCACCTTGGCCCTCAGACTGCGGGCGGCCAGGTCTGGCGGGCCCAGCCCGTCGAAGAAGAAGTCCTCGTTGAAGATGGGGTTGGCGCTGCATTTGACCACGCGGCTCCGTTGGCCCCGTGGCCGGACGCGCGGCCGCAGCGTCAGCACCACGCAGCAGCCGCCGCCGCCGCTCCCGGGGCCAGCGGGGGACCGCGGCAGGCCCTCGGCGCTCACCAGGCGCAGGCGCAGCCGCCCGGGCCCGGCCTGGTAGTCGGCGGAGAGCCGCAGCTGGCCGCCGCGGGGCGCGAGGCGCAGCACGCTCTCCTTGGTCGGCCGCAGCTGGCAACGCAGGAAGTCCAGGTGGAAGAGCGGCGGCCCGGGCGGCCCCGCGCGGCGCGGCGCGTGCGGGCTGGTGTCGGCCGAGCTCGCCTCCTCGGGGGACAGCGAGTGCGGCCGGGGCCGGCCGGGGCCAGGCCGCGGCGAGCCGAAGGGCGACGACTCGGGCGACGAGGCCGTGTCGCTGTCGGCGGCCCGGCAGAGGCGCAGGTCCGGGGCGGACACGTGCAGCCGGGCGTGCGCTGGGGAAAGCCCCCGGGCGGCGGCGGCGGCGGGCGGCGGCGGCGGCGGCGGCGGGTGGAACAGGGACTCGCGCCGGCGCGTGTGCGGGCTCTCGGGCAGGAAGGCCCAGCCTTCGCGGCCTGCCAGGTGCGGCAGCGAACAGGCCGCGGGGAGGCTGCGCCCGGCCGGGGACTCGGCGCCCCCGACGTCCGGGAGCCGAGGCGGGATGCAGAACTGCGGGATGCGATCGGGAGTGAGGACGTTGGGGCAGGCGCGCGCGGGCGGGCCCGGGGCTCGGCGCTTAGGGAGCAGGCTGGACGGCGCCCATCGGGGCCTGGACTCCGGGGGCCCCAGCCGGTAGCCGGCTTTCTCCAAGAGCCACATGCAGTGGGGTCCGAATTCCGCGAGACCGAGTAGGTGCAGATTCAGCGTTCCCGGTGGAGGCCTGTGGAGGACAGAAGGGGCGGGAGGTGGGTGATACTGAGAACATACACCGGTTGGTCGACCACGGCGCACTCTACCCCCGCCCCCCCGTCCCCTCCCCCGCGCCCGGTACACGGGCCCCTATCTGAGCAGGAAAAACAAGGGGGGGGGGGCGGTGAAGCCTGGGGGCCTGGGGAGAAATGGAGGGCACTGGACAGTCACATTTTCAGACGCAGGCCTTTAGACACCCGCGATCTCAGACTCTGCCATCAGTGCTAAAGATGCTCACTCACTAAAGAGTTAGAAGGCCCAACACACCCACTAGAACTCCAGGCTACTATTCGGAGAATGGAGGAACATTCTCAAATTATCAAAAGGTCTGTAGTCACAAACTCGGACACGGATCCCGAACCCTCCTGGTACATCCTGCTCGCCTGAAGAGACGCAGAGGCCCTTGGCAGGCTCATCCCCTTCTCCCTCGCCCATCCCGAACTCAGACTCTCCTCCTAGGTCTTGTGTGGCGCCCCTCGGGCTGCCTTCGCCCGGACCTGGGAGCAAGGCTCTCCAGCCTGAGCCGTCCTTCGGCCCCAGCCCCCCTGCTTCCTCTTGCTCCTCCCTCTCCTTTCTGAGTGGCTCCCGGCCAGAAGCCCACTCGCTGCACAGCTGACTGCTGTCCTGGGAGCACCCAGGGCCGGTCCCGGGAGTCGCACCCCCGGGGGCGGGGGGTCGCAGAATACCCTCCTCCCCCAGCCCTGGTTGTCCTGCTCCAGCCTCCCAGCCCCAAGGCATCCCGAGTCTAGAGGGCGGAGCGGCCATTGGGCCGCCACTCCCACTCTCCACTCCTTCCCTCCCTAGGAAAACACTGAGCACAAAGGCCCTATTGATTCTCTGCCACCCCCAGAGCCGGCTCCCCGAGGATCCGCCGCCGCTCGCTCACCGCGCCCCCGCGCCCCACCCGCGGGACCGCGACGTTCCGAGCGTCCGCCGGCCTGGGAGTCCGAGCCCACGGCGGGCTCGGTCAGACGGCCGGAGCGCAGGCCTCACCTGTGGGCTGCCGCTGGTTCCTGGCCTCCGGCTGGCTGGTGTGCAGAGCCCGGAGGGGAGCAGCTTCCTCTCCAGCTTGCTCCCCCAGCCCAGTCGTTCAGGGAGGAGTTGGCAGGGGCCTCCGTTGCCTACGTCCGACCTCTTTTCCTGGATAAACAGAGCTCTGTCTCCACGGTCATCAGCCCAGCCTTAACTCCTTCCTCCAGGTTTCTAGCAGCAAGCCAGTCCTGGGTCCCAGCCTCCTCTGCTGGCCCACTAGGAGGGCTGCGGTGAAGAAAAAGGAGGTCATCAGTGGGCAGTGGCCTCCATCCCTCTGTGCTGCACGGGCTGCACCCTAGCCTTGCTAGCAGAAACCCATAGCCGTGGTCACACACATTGCATATTGTGCAAAGCCGTCCTTGCTGGAATCCTGCTTTGGCCCCCATTGTCCTAGTCTGGAGCCATCGCAGTAGCTCTCAGACAGAGTGACTTGCAGTGACTAGTTCTCTGAACTACATGGCCCAAGGAAAAGTGATCAGGATCCAGATTTCTGGACATGGAGACACTGAGGACAGAGCTGGTTCTATCAGTGGGTCGAGCTCCGGCTGGCCTGTGTGCCTTGTCGTTGGCAGAAGGCTGTTCAACTGCAAAAGTGGAGGGTGCCTCTCCTCCCTTCCCCTCCCCTGCAAGCGGATCCTAGGAAGCACAGGCCACCACTGGCAAGATCAGCCCCTCAGTTGCACCCGCCATCCCTCAGTCTCTCAAAGACATCAGGCGCATTCCCTCCTTAGGATCTTTGCATAGGCTGTTTCCCCTCCTAGGATGACTCCCCACTTTCATCCTTCAGATCTGGAGGCCCTCCCTTACAACCTCCCATCTAAATAGGGGCTTCTGTTGTATGCTTTCCCAGCACCCCATACTTTTCCTTTCTGGCATTGGTCACAGGTTTTTTTCTTCTGTGATTTTTGTATGTGATTATTTATCTACTGTCTTAATTAGACTGTAAGTGTCATGAAGACAGTGCTTAGCACAAGGCAGGTGCTCAATCAGGATTTGTTGAATGAATTAATGACACTAAGCAGAATTATACCTGAATTAGTTTATTCATCCATTCACTGTGTAGGTGCTGGGGATATATAGAATGGGGAGCAGGCTAAGGGGAGAGACAGACAATAAACATGCAAACAACAACAGGATGCAGGAAACAAGATGGTTATTTTGACATCTGATACTTGAGAGTTTTAAAAGGGCATGTGTGTTTTTTTTTTTTTTTAAGATTTTTATCTTTATTTTTCGATAGAGACAGCGAGAGAGGGAACACAAGCAGGGGGAGTGGGAGAGGGAGAAGCAGGATTCCCGTGGAGCAGGGAGCCCAATGCGGGGCTCCATCCCAGGACCCTGGGATCATGACCTGAGCTGAAGGCAGGCACTTAACGACTGAGCCACCCAGGCACCCAAGAGCATGTGTTTCTTTTGTGGAGATCCCTGGTGACCTCAAACCCTCCAGTTCCGTGGCTCCTGACTCAGCTCAGCCCTGGTGTACTTTCTGGGGAGGGTGGTCTGTGTGGAGTGCTGCAGCCAAGAACTCTAGGCTTTAGCATCAGTCAGATGGGTTGAGGATCCCTCTGCAATTTACTAGGGGTGTGATCTCTGGCGCATAACTTAATCTCTCTGGGGTTCACCTTTCCCATCTGGAAGAGGGAGAGAACATACCTAACTCTCAGAGTTGGTATGAGGATTAAGTGAGATAACACATGGGCATCAGTTCAGCTCACTTCCGCTAAAAGCACAAGAAAACAGAAACCCCAGTTCAATCTGGCTTGATGACGACATTTTTGGCTTTTATAATAAGTCCAGAGGTAGGGTAGAATTCAGGGAAGTTTGATTCTGCGGCTTCATTCATTCATTCAGTTACAGACTACCTACTATGTGCCAAGCACTGTGCTGGACTGGAGGATATAGCAGTGAGAAAACGGGTACATCTTCTAGCCAGGTGAAGTTGATACTTTAGTGGAGGAAGAAAGATAACAGACAAAAAAAATTAGCAAAAAAAGTACAGTTTATGAGAAGGAAATCAGTGTTGGGAAGAAAATAAAGTAGGGAAGGATCATAGAAGAGCACTCAGTTTTAAATGGGGTGGTCACGGATGGCCACATTGAGAAGGGAATATTTCAGTAATGACATGGAGAGAGGAAGGTTTTCTGAGGGAAAAGCATTCTAGGCAGAAGGAATCATCAATGAGCGGCGCTCAGCATGCCTGGAGTGTTCAAGGAGGCAAACTGATCAGCATAGCTGGAACAGAATGAGTGAAGGGGAGATGGAGTCAGAGGGATAATAAGGCCCAATGCTGTTGGGACTCGTAGGCACATAAAAGCTGTGACAATTTTAGCTTTTATTTGAGCCGAGGAGTGATATGACTTGCCATATATTAAAAGGGTTGCTCTGGTGAGAACAAAATGAAGGGGATAAGGGCATAATTAGAGAAATCAGATAGGAGACTATCGAAATAATCTTTGCACAAGATGATTGGGGCATAGATCAGGATTGTAGTAGTCAGTTTCTAGATCTGTTCTGAAGATCAAGTCAATAAATGGATCCATCCCCATATAAAGAGAAAGAATGATCCAACGTTTTTGGCCTGAGCAACTGGAAGAATGGAGTTACCATATGCTGAGAAGAGGAAAGATTAGGAGTTCAGTTTTGGGTCTATGAAGTTTGAGAAGCCTGCCAGACATCTAAATGGAGACATTGAGTAAGCAGTTGCATATATGAACCTGGAACTCAGAGGAAAGGTCCAGACTGGAAATGTAAGTGTGGGCACCAAGAGAAATGAAGATGGAATTTAAAGTCAAGAGACTTGATGAAGTGTAGGTAGAAAAGAGTAAGGATCCTGGGCTCAAGGTTCAAGACTGAGTGCTGGGCATGTCAACATTTTTTTGGAAGATGTTATTTATTTATGAGAGAGAGATAGAGAAAGAGATTGAGAGAACGAATGGGAGGAGGGGCAGAGGGAGAAGCAGACTCCCCGCTGAGCAAGGAGCCTGATGCAAGACTCCATCTGGCATCTGGGATCATGACTGAGCCACCCAGGCACTGGGCATCATTTAGAGGGGAGAGGAGGAGAACCAGCTGTGCCAGATGCTGTGGCAAGATCCAGTAAGGTGAGGACTGAGAATCGATCATTGGATTTAGCAATGCAAAGTCATTGGTGACTTTGCCAAGAGCAGTTTCGGTGCAGTGGTAGAAGCAAAAGCCTGGTTGGAGTGGGCTGCAGAAAGGTTAGGGGAAAGAGAGAGCAAAAAAACCAACAAACCTCTCTTGAAGAATTTGCTGAAAGAGCAGGGGCAGTGGGGTAGTGGCCAAGCGGGAAGTGGAATCAAGAGAGAAGTTTTTTTTTTTTTTTTAATTTATTCATTTGAGAGAGAGGGAGAGAGAGCATGAGCAGGGGGAGCGGCAGGCAGAGGGAGAGGGAGAAGCAGACTTGCCTCTGAGCAGGGAGCCCAGGACCCTGGGATCATGACCTGAGCCAAAAGTGGATGCTTAACCAACTGAGCCACCCAGGTGCCCCCAGAGAGAAACTTTTAAATCACAGAAATAATGGTATGTTTGTATGCTGATGGGAAAGATTCCATAGGAAGGGGAGAATTGGTAATGTAGAAGAGACAAAGGAGAATTAATGCAGCAATATTCCTGAGTAGACACAAAGAATAGGTATTGCGCATGAGAAATCAATCTGGAGCTTGTCCTTTGCTTGCTGTGTGGACAGCTCACCCAGTTACTGGAGAGAAGGTAGAATAACTGAGTAGAGGTAGAAGGTGGAGGAGTGGGTGGTGGGAACTTGTTCCCTCTGAATGCTTCTAATTGCTCATGAAGCAGGATGCAAGGTTACCAGCTGAGAGTGATGATGGTTGGCGGAGGAGGTGACTCTAGGGCTTCAGTAGAAAAGACCAGGAAAGGAACAGTCACCCAGGAGGACAGGGGAAAGGCAAGGTGGCTGCTGGGCAGTATTGCAGGCTCGCCTAAAGGATAGCAGCCACGACTTTATGCTGAGACCAAACAGTGTGGTTGTGAGATTTTTCTCCAGCTGTGTTCATTTGTACAGATGCAGAGGGAAAATGGGCAGAGATTTGGTTTAGGATTGTGCTCAGTCGTTGACAATTCACTTTGGTCTGGCTCTCTTTCTCCTTCCATTTCCTTCTCTTGGTGGTTAAAATCAAGGGCACATAGAAGAGTGCACACCACCTGGGTCGGACAGCAGTGGGACTAAGAACTGGGTATAGATCATCCACAGCCTGACTGCATCAGTCAGGGTTTGGTGAGGAAAATAGCACCTGCTGGGCAGTTCAACAGAGGGAGTTTAACACGGGGAACTTGTTACAAAGAGCTAAAAAGGCAGATAGGTTGGTTAGGATGGTCTAGCAGGATCTGGAAGCGTGGAGATACAGCCATTACTTGAGTTGCCTTTCAAAGCAAGGAGAAGGGGCGAACTACCCTAACTTCTTGCTACTTCCCACCTTCCAGTCTGCCACCAGGGCCTCTCAAAGACAGGTGACAAAGGAGCCTTGGGAAATGCAGGTTGTAGGCACTGGCCCTGCACAATCTAAGGCAGAGTACGGGAGGAGTAGGGATCTGAGAGCCATCAAGCAAATGACTGGCACACGGAGTGGCCACAAGTTGACTTAATGGGAACAAGAAGGTATCAGACCTGGAAGGAACTTAGACATCACCTCACCTGTCCTTCCATTTGTATAGAGCAAGGAAAAGACCCAGAAAGCAATGACGTGCCAAACAGTAGCAGAGTTGAGGCTAGAAGTCAGATCTTTGATGTCAAAGAGCATTGTTTTTTACTTGGACCCTAGAGTTCTTTGGACTGGAGCAGACATGCTCCCTTGAATGGGGCCCGGAGCACCGCCTCTTCACCATCACTGCCACTCCTGGAGAGTGTCACATGTGACCCGAGGCCCTGATCTCCTTCTTCCTGCTGGTGCCACCGTAGAGGGACGCCTGGAGGACTGGGCATTACCGAAATCATCTGGGTTCAAGCCTGATGAAGAGGCAGGCAGGGCACAGGACTTTCCTCCAAGTAGGCAGGCAACTGCTCTAAGACTCCCTGGGTTTTTGGGTCTCACTAAGCTGTCTTTCCATGGCTTTGAGCATGGCCTAATAGCATGATTTGCTACAATGCTCACTGTGGGCACTGGCAGGTGATGGGGTTGGTGGTATACTGTGACTTACAGCTCTGGCTCCTTACGTGAGACCTTTGGTGAATGACTTAGCTCTGCAGTTCCAGGAAGGCCTTTGGGGCCCTTTCTTTAAGAGCTGGTATGAGCTACCAGAGTTTCCTGCCTTCTTGAATTGGTTATTCTTACACTTGCATTATTCACTCTTTGGTTCTCTTGACACTTGACTCAGGAACCTGGAGAAAACATATCCTCTGCTTTTTTTGTTTGTTTGTTTTTAAGATTTATTTATTTGACAGAGAGAGAGAGAGTACAAGCAGGGACAGCAGGAGAGGAGAAGCAGGCTCCCTGCTGAGCAGGGAGCTCAATGTGGGCTCGATCCCAGGACCCTGGGATCATGACCTGAGCCGAAGGTAGATGCTTAAATTACTGAGCCACCCAGGGGCCCCTATCCTCTGCTTTAAGCAGAATAAACTGCCACATTTGCCTGAATGACTAGTTGGATTCCACTCCATCTACCTTTACAGTAGTTGCATTCCAGATGAATTTTTTTTTAAGTGTGCAGGCAGCAACTCCCCGTTTCTGCCTGGAAAGCTGTAAGACTTGACCTCCTGGAGAGGAGAGGCATTTATCAAAGCCCTAGAGCCTAGGGAAGTGTTCCAGCAGCTGATAACCTTATTTCCCTTACCAATATCCCTGCCTGTCCTCCTGGCCTTAGCCAGTCAAGGCTGACATTCCCAGCCGTGCTGTGGGGTCTTGCCTGAGAGCTTCCCACCTCTGTAGATTTCCACCCTGTGCCAGGATGGGGGCCCCAGCTCCTGGAACCTCAGTCTCATCCTGAACTTGAATTCTTCACTTCCCAGGATAAGGGTTTGGATATGGACTCTTCCTTCCTCCGCCCATCTTCCTCTCAAACGGAGACAGTGGTTGCCAGCTATGCACCAAACCCTTTTCCCTTTCTTCCCCAACATGTAGTTAAACCATATTTTCCAACAAACCTCCCTTTGTTGATTAGTGGGGCCTCATGACTGAGTTCTAGTCAATGGAAATACTTTGAGGCTTGGTCCCAAACACCTCTCTTGTGATTGTCTCTTCTCTCATCTGGCAACTGGATATCAGCATCCAGGATGATTTTGGAAGTCATGTGTTAAAGATGGCAGAGCTTTTGTCAGCCAGATTCCTGAGTGACTCCTAGATACCAACAACTGGACTTTATGTCTCTTCTATTTAAAATATGGGTTACACTGGGCGCCTGGGTGGCTCAGTTGGTTAGGCGACTGCCTTCGGCTCAGGTCATGATCCTGGAGTCCCTGGATCGAGTCCCGCATCGGGCTCCCTGCTCGGCGGGGAGCCTGCTTCTCTCTCTGGCCCTCCCCCCTCTCATGCTCTCTCTCTCTATCTCATTCTCTCTCTCAAATAAATAAATAAAATCTTTAAAAAAAAATATGGGTTACACTTCAGAGATGTAAAGATTTACCTGTCTCAGTATTTGGCTTTACCACATCTAATAATAAAATCCTTTGTGATATGCCCCCTTGGAGTTCTCATTCTTTGGTAACACTTCTCAAGTCCTTGGACCTCTTCCTGGGCATCCTCTGCACCCACTTAGTTTTGATGGCATCCTGCCTGTCCCTGAGGCAGCTGCTCAGTTTCCCACTTCTCTCCTTTGCTCAGAGGAGCCTCTGGCTTCTCCCAGATGATGACTGCCTCCTCCAGTCTCTATTCTTCTCCTTCATGTCAGACCACTCCTCCTCAAAAATGTGCGCTAGCCATGTTCTTTTTTTCTCCTTTACCACAGTCTCCTTGCCTGACTTAGTGCCATCATCCCGTAGTCCTGCTAGCTGGCTCACGCCCTCCCCTCACCCCAGGTCAGTATACTCCAGACCCCCGTTTTCCACCAGCGGTTGGGCCTTCTGCATGCCTCGGCCCACCTGTACCGGGTCGGTTTGTTCTGATCCCCCAGTGGCCTATGGCAATCATTGCCCTTCTTCCAGACCTCTCTCCCCACTGAGGGCCTTGCCTCCTGTTTCACTGAGGGTGCTGAAGTCCTCTGGCATGAATCCCCTCAACCTGCTGTCCTGCTATGCACTCCCCCTTCTACTCCTTCCTTTTTTGGTATCAGAGTAGCTGCTGCTGTCTCCAGCGGTGCTCTTGATCCATCTCTGAGACCAGATAGCTGTTCTGCTGGATGACACCTCTCTCCCTGCTAGAGTTTCAGCCTCTCTCCACTGGCTCCTTCCAAAGCAATTTATAAATATAGTCAACCCTCTTTCCTTAAATAACATCATCAATAACAACAACATTCCTAGAAAGAATCATCTAGATTCACTTTGTCAGTCCCATCCATTTTTTCATTCACCATAATCTGGATTTTGCTCCCACCCGGCAAAGAAGACCCTCACCTTCCTCACTGCCGAAGGCCAAGGCCTGTTTTCAGTCCCCATCTGTCTTGCCTTCTTTTTAACATTTGACACTGCTGACCTCTCCCTCTTCAGAAGAGTCACTCCTATCCTATCCTTGGTCTCTGGTGGCTTTTGTCCTTTGCCCAACTGCAAGTTCTATCTATGACCCCTTCCCTAGCCTTCATTTCCCCCCCTTCCCCTCCTTTCACTCTGTACTTCCCTCCCAGGGGTTCCATGTCCATTTTTATATCGATGATTTACAGACTGAGGCAGTTGTTCATCCGTCTCAAGCTCCAGACCACAATATCCAGGCTCTTGCTGGTGCTCACCATGTGGCTGAAGTACCATGGGCACTTCAAGCTCAGTGCGTGGGAAATGAAGCTTTTTATTCACCCCCACCTCAAACCTGCTTCTCTGCACTCCTGGTAATGCCGCCTGCAATTCCTAGGCCAGAAGCCTGGAGGCATCCTGGAAGACTCTTCACAAATCCAATACCTATAATTAGTGGCAAAGTCCCACGCTCTTTTGTTTGTAACATGTTCCATCTTTCATCTTCAAAGCTCTGACCCACGGCAGGCCCTTACTATCTTTAGCTGGGGGCCGTGCAGGGGTCTCCTAACCAGGGGTCCCACCTTCAGGCTTGCTGACCCTCCCTTTACTGCCACCAGAGTCATCTTTCTAAGAAACAAAACTTTATGTCACCCCCCCCTCCAGCCTATACCCTTTAAAGTCTTTCCTCACTGTGTGCTTGGTGCCTCACCCAGGGCCTGGCACCTGCAGGTGCTCAGAAGATCTCTTGGCGCTGGCTGGGGAAGTGGGTGTGTGGGAGGTGCTGTGAGGATTCTGATTTCCTACTACAGAAGGGTCTTAGCCTGAGAATGAGGCCACGAATCTATTTATTCAGAGGAACGCGCCCTCTCCTTCCCATCACCAGTCACTTCCTGCGGACCCTCCCTGCCGTGCAGTGGGTCCCAAGCAGGCAGGGCAGTCAGCAGGAAGGCACAGTGACTGTTACTGGGATGACTCCTCTTCCAGCTGCAGCTGCAGGAAAACACCTGCAGAGAAGAGGACAAGCTGAGTGTCAGGAGCTGGTTGGGGTGCTCTGCGCATTTGCATCCTGTCACCTGGTGCCCGATCCTGTCCTTGTGGAACAGGTTGGGCCACTCCTACATAGAAAAGAATCCTAGCAGGGTGCTCCTTCATTGGAGTCTACAGCGGGTGCCCGGTCCCACTCTAAAAAGCTGGATCCCAGCTTGGGAGCACATCAGCATTCTTCCTTCCATTGGTCCTGAGGGTGATGGTGGCAGGACAGAGTCTGGCGCTGAGGCTGAGAACCTCTTTACCTGAGCACTTAGCATAGACTGTCTGCTGGTCCCTGCTCTGGGCGATGCACGACACGTAAACCTTCTGGTCCTCGATCTTTTCCACGTCAACTTTCAGTACAGCCAGAGAGCCCACAGGGATCAAGCTGGAAGAGGAGGTGGCTTAGTCCATCCCTCATATGAATCCCTGGCCGCCATCCCTTCACCCCTCTGTTTCCCCAGCCTTCTCTTCATCCCACTCTGCCTCAAGGAATAAGTGACTCAGGGCTCGCGGCCCACTTGCAGACTTCCAGAGTCTGTTGGCAGAGGCTGTGCTCTGGCCGGGAGTAGAAGATCAGCTGAGCAGCGGCTTGGGAAGGAGGGTGGCAGACAGGGCTCCCGCACCCAACCCCTGAGCATGGCCACTCCTCAGTGATAAAAAGGGCATGACTTTGGCCAACGCCCCAAGGATCCATACTTACTTTTTGAACCTGATGTTGAGGCTTACTGTGAATAGCCCCTCTCCAGCCAGGTAAGCAGTTTTAGAGAAGGTCTCATCCATCATGGCAGCCAGGGACCCCCCATGTGCAAACCTGGGGGTGGGGTGGGCAGGAACAAGGCCAGGGCTGCAAGCTTCCCCGCCACCCACCCTGATCCTGATGCGGAGCCATCCTGCCTCTATCTTTCTACGGGAGAAGAAAGGAAGCAGAGCAGGATCCCAGCTGATCAAACTGGTCCAAGTCACTTCAGCTTTTCTCCCATGTTGCTTCAGCAGCATGAGCAACGCCTGACATAATTATTTTATTTCATCAGGAAAAATATGAGGTTTCTTTTTTTCTTTTCTGATAAAGTTAATGGAAAGGGGTGCCTGGGTGGCTAAGATGGTTAAGCGTCTGCCTTCTGCTCAGGTCATGATCCCAGGGTCCTCGGATCGAGCCCCATGTCGGGCTCCTGGCTCAGCGAGGAGCCTGCTTCTCCCTCTGCCTCTCCCCCTGCTCATGCTCTCTCTCCCTGTATTTCTGTGTCTGGAATGAATAAATAAAATCTTTTAAAAAAAAGTTATTGGAAAAACATTTTTTTTCTGATTCATCACCTAATTGCTGGCAGCAATTGCCATCATTTGGAAAGGTGCGCTCATACAAGGGACGGAAAAGCCCCTGTGCTTTTCGGCTTGGGCTCTGAGGCATGGCCTTGGGCCAGTTCCCACCTTACCCATCGCTACACCAGGGCCAAGCTAGCATGGATTACCCTCTTGTTCCCACCACCAGGAGGGGAAAGAGCTGGGAGCCATGGAACCACACCAACCTGATTCGACTCCACGCTCCACCTCTCACTACCAGTCTGATCTTGAGCAAGTTGCTAAGTTGCTGAGTTGTTAAGTTGCTGAGTTGTTAAGTTGCTAAGCTTTTCTGAGCCTAAGTTTTTCCACTATGAATTCTGAATAAAAATAATTCCTATTTCGGGTGCCTGGGTGGCTCAGTTGGTTGGGTGACTGCCTTCGGCTCAGGTCATGATCCTGGAGTCCCGGGATCGAGTCCCGCATCGGGCTCCCTGTTCAGCGGGGAGTCTGTTTCTCCCTCTGACCCTCCTCCCTCTCATGCTCTCTGTCTCTCATTCTCTCTGTCTCAAATAAATAAATAAAATCTTAAAAATAATTCCTATTTCATCAGATTACACGAGGTAATATTTATAAAACCCCCTACTTCCACATGGCTTGAAAGAGGGAAGAAGAAGTTGGTGCCAAAGAACCCCAAACCTGCTCTTCCCTTGTTATCCTAATTGGCCAGACAGGGGACCCATTGGCAAGTGTGTGGATTCTGCAGGATAGCTCTTGATCAGCCAGCAACCTATTCTTCCTCATTGCCTAGGGCTGGGTGGATACTTGTGACAAAATAGAAAATATATATTGGTCTCTGGCCTGGATTCAACACAGTGCTGTTGAAATCCTCGTCATTTCCTGGGTGATGGGAGTGTCTTGTTCTACTGAGGTGACTCTGGGCGGGCTCCTGAATGGCTCCTGGATGGAGCCCCAGAAAGACGAAGCCATGATTAGAAGCTCCTAGAGAAAGAAGAAGGGCTGGAAATGGAGTATATGATGGTTCATGCCTGCGTGAGGAAGCTTCCATAAAATTCCAAAGGTATAGGGTTCAGAGAGCTTCCAGGCTGGCAAACACAGGCCCAGTGGGAGGGTGATGCACTCTGACCCCACAGGGACAGAAACGCCTGCGTGTGCTTGGGATACTCCCAGACCTCACTGTATGCATGTCTTCATCTGGCTGTTCTTCTGTATCCTTTATCATATCCTTTAATAAACTGGTAAATATAAGTGTTTCCTTGAGTTCTGGAAGCCTCTCTAGCAAAGTAATTGAACATCAGGAGGGGTTTCTGAGAACCTCTGATTTGCAACTGTAGGGGCCAAGGCAAGCTGTCCCAAGATGGGCCACTCTGGCGTGAATATTAATTTGAGCTGAAGGCAATCGAGACCCTGTGGGCTCAAGAGAAACTTTTGCCCATCCCTTCACTTACATAGAAGAATTTAAATTGGGGGTCTTTCCCAGAATAAAGGTTATTACCAGAGAAAAATTTTACCTGAGTGACCCATCTGTATGGCAGGGCAAGCAGCTAATTACCAAACATCTGCTCTTCTTCTTATTGCCCTGTGAAGTGCATTCCTTCCCTTCAAAGTCCCAGACCCCTGTCCCCTGCTCCTTAGTTCAGGATGACATGTAGTCTTCATTTTGCCTGTCTTTAGAATTTCCATGTCTGTGTGGATTGCCTGTATGTACACTATTAAATTTGACTTTCTCCTGTTAATCTGTCTCATGTCAATTTGATTTTTAGTCCAGCTGGAAGGACCCTTGAAGGGGACAGGAAATTCTTGCTTCCTGACATAGCCAAGTCAGACAGAAGTTGTGGGAACCTGGTGGCCTGCTACTTGCTCTTGGCATATGAAGTGGGGTCAGGTTCATGGACTGAGCCCTTACTTACCCTGTGGGATCTGATGCTGTCTCCAGGTACATGGTGTCAGCATGGAGTTAAATTGTAGGACACCCAGCTGGTGTCACAGAATTGCTTCATGTAGGGAGAAGCCTCTCCCCATTTGGTGATCAGAACTATCAGAAGTAAAGGTCTTGTATGAGTAGTAAAGGAGACACACAGGAGAGAAAGACATAGTAGTTGAGAACCGGTTTTTTATCCCTACACAGTAGACTGAATTGGGTATTTCTTTTTTCTTTTCTTTCTTTCTTTTTTTTTTTTTTAAGATTTTATTTATTTATTTGAGAGAGAGAGAGAATGAGAGAGAGAGAGCACATGAGAGGAGGGAGGGTCAGAGGGAGAAGCAGACTCCCTCCTGAGCAGGGAGCCTGATGCGGGACTTGATCCCGGGACTCCAGGATCATGACCTGAGCCGAAGGCAGTCGCTAACCAACTGAGCCACCCAGGCACCCCTGAACTGGGTATTTCTTTCTGTTCAGTATGAATCTCTTCTCTGAACCCCTCAACCCACTGGCTTCAGTGTTGGATGGTCCTCCTCTGCCTCTCCTGCCCCACTTCCATGAGCCCCTAAATAAAAATCAGCTACACTTCACCCCCATCCCCGCCTTCTGGTGTTTTCCTCTTCAGAATGAAGGGCATTCCTGACCTGTGTAGGGCTCTGACCTAGTCCCCCAGCAGCTGATGCATCAGTGGGAAAATCATTGTCCTCACCGAAGATGCCTTTGGGATGGCCAAGGTGACCAAGGGCTGCAGTCTGAATCCATGGCCTGTGGAGGTGCTGACATCTATTAAGATCTCTGAATTTAACTGCAACTGAGTCCCTCCCAGGCGCTGGGACCCTAAAGCTGCCCCCCACCCTTCTGTCTCCCTTGTAGGAACTTTGGCACCACCAACAGCCTTCAGTGACTGTCTAAAGAAGGAACAGGGATGCAGGAGAAGGCAGACGACCATGGACTTGGTGGCCCAGTGGCCTTGGGCAAGAGGCTCAAGGCCAGCTTGCTCTCCCTTGTGGAATTTACCTAGGGTGAGTTCCTTCCTGGGCCTATCCCAAGTTTGAAGGCAGCGGAGTATAATGGAGAGATCAATGGATTGGAGTCCCAGGTCCTGGATTAGAGACCTGATCTGACTTGGTTGTG